GCGACCGCCAGTATGGCTTTTGACCGCGTCGTTTCACCGGTGACCTGCTGGCTCTTGTCGCACAATCCAGGTCAGCTCCACTCGATAACCACGGAGAAACACACTTAGCCTTGCTTGACATCTCAAAGGCCTTCGACGGAGTTTGGCACGACGGTCTACTGGCGAAACTACCCATGTTCGGGTTCTCTCCAGCGCTCGTAGCGTGGATATCAAGTTTCCTCATTAAGTGAACCATCTCCCTTCGAGTTGATGGGGTTCTATCTCAGCCATTCTCTGTGAACGCTGGTGTTCCCCAAGATTCAGTACTTGCGTCCACCCTCTTCCTTCTATTTATCAATGACCTTCTTTCCCAAACTGCCAGCCCGATCCATTCTTTTGCTGATGACGCCACCCTCCACTGCGCCCTTTCCTCCCGCACTGCTCGCCATGCCCAAACCAACAACACTAGTGACCGTAGTGCAGTTAATGTGTCACTGGACTCCGACCTCGAACACATCTCCTGGGGCAGCGCAAACCACGTTTCATTCAATAGTTCTTAAACCTCTATTCTTTCAATTTCTTTAAAACACCATTCGTTCCCACACACACCCATTCATCTTTTAATTCCACCGAAATGCGCTCCACAGACTCTGTTTCCCTTATTGGATTGCCTATAACTTCTTCTTTATGATGATCCCCTTTTATAGCTAAGGTTGTTTCTCGTGCTGCGCTCAAAGTTGGATTTCTATTTCGCGCCAGACGTTTTTTCACCCCAGCCTTTTTCTATTATACAAAGCTCAAATCTGCCCAGCTCATGAATAGTGTAGTCACGAGTGCGGCGGGGCTTCGTCCTCTTCCCTTTCCCGTCTTGATCGTGTTCAACGAAAGGCCATCCGGCTGATCGATGATCCTTCCCTAACATCCAGTCTGCAGTCTCTACCCCATCGTCGGGAAGTTGCTTTATTGTCCCTGTTCTACCGCTACTACTTGTTTTTTGCTTTTTGGAACTTGCCTCGGCAGTTCCTCTTCCTGCAATTTATACCCGCCCATCCCGTACACAGGCATCTAGTCATCCTTATCAGGTTTCTGTTCCCAGATGTCGTACCTCAACTTCAATCTTCTTTTTCCCCCGAACTGTCAAACTATGGAACACCCTGTCCCCTCCTGTTTTTTCCCCAGCCTACAACCTTACACTCTGAAAGACAGAATCAATAAACCGGATCTTACGTGAATGTTCCCCTACTTTCCCCTTTACAGCATAGTATTTGTCCGTGAGGATTTTCCGTTTTACTGTAATTCACATTGTGTAATAAAAAAATATTTTTTTACTTCCGCTATTCCCTCCCAGTTGGAGTTAGGTATGGAGATGGAGTAAAAACTACAAGGATAAATGTGTCAACATTCTCAAGTTATCGACTTGAATGGGGGGACTTACGGTCTACCTCTGTTGTTATAGAAGCCACGTATTGGTGATCGAACGGCCATTGTAGATGCAAATTCACTGGAATAGGTAGCTTTCAGTAAACCGTGATCTAATTTACCTGAAATAAGAAATATGAAACAAGACAGATTTAGTGCCAGAATGGAAGTTAGTAATTTATTTGGTCACCAAATTCTGACATGCAACAGGTTTGGCTTCTCTTCATCACCTAAAACTAGCGAGGGCAACCAAAAAGTGCACACGGGGGGCTCAATACAAATAAACAGTTGGCATAAACGACAGGAATGCAAGATNAGCTTCTCTGACGATCGGCCCAAAGCCGGGTGATGCTGGGGACTTTCCTGTATCCAACTATAAATAAAATTTATGGGTATTCACTTAACTCGTCTCGCTAATTATGCTACGGTTTTCTCGGGAAGCAACGCGCCCTGTTCTCCTCCAGTAGCTCCAGTGATGGGTGTGAGCACTGAACACCTTCAGTTACGCAGACCTCCTTACATTGGATGCTGGAACGTAAGAACACTCAGATGCCGGGAGTCAGGCGCTAACAATACGTGCGCTACACGACCATCAGCTGGATATTACAGGCCTATCAGAAATCAGATTAGTGGGCTTCAGTTCCAAAAGTATCAAAATCCCCGATATCGATAGTCAATTCTGGCTGCATCACAGTGGCAACGACACGTTAGGTCAACACGGAGTAGCACTTGCTTTAAGTCATCGGGCTAATGATTCTTTACCTTCCCGGAAACCGAGATTCTCCAGGATCGTAATAGCACGATTCAAGGGCCATCCAGTAAACCTCACAGTAACCACTGTCTACACCCCAACTCTCCCATCTGACAACAACGCTAAGGACGAGTTCAATGGCAGCCTTCAATCGTTTGTTGATGAAGCACCCAAACGAGATGTACTTGTCATAGCAGGGGACTGGACCGCTCGAACTGGACCACAAGAAGAAGCCAAGAAGTACATCGCAGAGAAGTCTGGCCTGGGCCAGTGCTACGAAAATGGTGACAGACTACTCAGCTTCGCCGATTATAATCGATTATGTATTATCGACACGCGGTTTCAACATCCAAAAAAGCATCTGATATGGTACTCCAACGATGGAAGAACAGCACACCAGCTAGATTACCTTTTCATCCGTTTATGATAGGTTCCTTCGATTGAACACTGTCAAGCCTATTGCGGGGCTGAATGCGGGAAAAGTGGATCTGATCACGTACTAGTTCGTACAAAAGTTAGACTCCATCTAACAAGTGTGCAGGAAGATCGTCCCCTCAAAAAGCCTAAATATGCTTCCATTGGAGGACAGCGGCAAATGTCAGACACTGATGGGCATGATAACTGCACAATCTTTCTTGGTCTTCTCATGTCATCGAGACATTTCACAAAGTCAGTCACCATTTCCCGCAATCTTTCTTGGTCTCCTCATGTCGTCGAAACATTTCACAAAGTCAGAAAACTCAACCTTTACATTATTCGTTTGAAGATGTTATCTACCAAAAACACTTAATAAAGCGTTTTGTTTTATCCTGTATCCTTCCCCACTGGCTTTATGCATCCCCTATTATTTTTCCGGGTCTTTTAATCATACGAACATCCATCAAATACGTATGTCGATACAGCGGCATATCTTGTATGTTGTGCAGAAAAACGGCATGTGAAAGGAGTTCCACGCCAACTCCGAACTGCGCTGTCTTGAGGCGCCGCAACGCCTCCTGGCTGTCGGTCGGGGTGTCGAAGCCCGATATCAGGGCGTCCTTTGAGGCGGCCCACGTTATCTCCGAACCTCTTCGGGTAGCGTCCAACTCTGTTCGCGCCCGGCTCTTGATGAGCGATAGAAGGGCCGTCAACCTAACCCGGTCGGTCCGTATTCCCGCCAACTCCGTGACGTCCTCGAATTCCTCCGGGACGGTCCACACGCCCACATCCTCGAAAGCTGCGGGTCATGGAACCTCCATCCTGACGGTAGCATTAATTTTGATCAATCCACAAGACGGCGCCGGGACGAGATTTATTTATCACGAATAACTGAGGGTATATGTAAATTTACATGCACACAACCAAATGTCTTATATGGAAGCAGTCTTCAGAACTCCCATAAGCGCACAGGATGATTAATAGAACGGTAAAACGGTAGATGCATATTTACCATAGTTACCATTTTGGACACGGAAATTCGCTCGCAGAGGTCTTGTTCATTTTTGACCGTTGGGATAAACAGCCAGTCACGTTCTTTTGCGCAGTCGAAACATAGTACGCCCATTGTTAGTGTTATAATTCCACAAGGCCCAGGACAGTTGTTTATTGCAGACTACAGTTTTCAGTTTGAACAACCATTAAGCATGCACTTCCATGCATCGCTTTTGGCTGCAGATTACAGCTGGGATATCAATAATTTAGCATGCATGTAACATATCTCATTTGAAACATGTTATTGTAATTCCCAGCAGCACACCAGGTAATGACTGGAGCATTCCGTAGTTATTCTTTGATGCACAGCCATTCACCCTCAGTAGTCTTGTTAATTTTTGTCCTTTGAAGGATACCACCAACCGCACTATTTAGCATACTACTCACAAATGTGAGTGAAACGTCACGTCCTCGCCACAGGTGTTTAAGTCCTGCGTACGCTACTCGAGCCTTGGAAATATGTGCGGTTGTCTCCTTTGTTGCGCTATCGTCGTTTGTCACAAAGCTACCCAAGTACGAGAAGCAGCCAACTTCAGCTAATTCCTGACCGTCTACTTCCAGAACGGAACTCGGCGACACGCAGTCTTGCAGCATCACGTTGCACTTTGAAGGTGCAAAGCGCATGCCGAACCGAGCGACAAAACTTGCTAGCCTGTCAAGTGCTCTTTGTGCATTCTCCATACATTCGAATTGACAAAAAATGTCAGCGTACTCTAAATCACAGCTTTTCTCCAGCTGCCCATTCAATACCAACATTTTGGAGACCACTGAGTGTATCTCCAATATTTCGCCTATGACGAAATTGAACAGGAATGACGAACACTGCTGCTAGTTACAAACAGCCTACTTAGCCCGCCGTAAACTCACACTATCAGAAGTATGAGGAAAGTGTACTCAATATGTCCACATCTATGATATTCCTTTAGGGAGGAGAGAACCCATAAGGGATTCGCGGTCAACTGAGTCGAAAGCTCTTTTGAAGGCAAGGAACAAGACTCAGTTGACCGCGAATCCCTTATGGAAGGACCACAACACTCATCTCGACCAGAAGCAATCGATCAAACACCTAGAGCAGATTATTGCTAGCCTTGAGAACAAAGTGTCTAAATTGAAACGCACAAAAGAACTGACGACGGGCCGCGATAGAAGCGTCCTCATTATGAATCACGAGGATCCGGTCATAAGAGAAGCGAAGGTCCGGGTGGATAATGACGCCCGAAGAGTCCGTGATATCCTTAGAACTGCAGGTTTACCGTGTATATACCCATAGATAGGGTACAGAGGATTGGGAGATGGAGAAAAGAATGCGCGCCAGGTGCCAGGGTTGCTTGGCCCATTTCAGTCGATTTCGGAAATCCCGATATTAGTGGTATGCTACTATGCATTAGTGAAAGGGTAGAACGAGCTACCGGGGGCAGATATTGAATTGCATCAGACATAATACCTTGTATATCGCTTTTCTGACTCGTATCTCCTCTTTCCTTTTTCAGCTTTCATACGTACGCTGTATGCCAAATAAAGCCTAACCTGTGGGCCTTTCTCGTTCTGTTTTCTCGTGCACGCTGCTATAACACTACAATTTATTCGACATACAGCAATGGATCGAATATTACGCCTGGAACGGTTCGGTATTGAACCTAGCTCACCAGATGCTACTAGGCAGTGGAACCATTGGAACAGGACTTTTCTCAGCCTCCTCAAGTCAGTGGATAATCTAAAACCCGACAAATTGGATGTGCTGATTTCATACATATCTCCTGCTATCTACGAACATGTCGTGGAATGTGAAACCTATGAGATGGCAATGGAGATGCTTAGTAACCTTTATGTGCACCCAAAAAATGAGGTCTGCGTCCGACACATCCTCGCCACCGCCAAACAGGACAGTGGGTAGACTCTCAATCACTTCGTTCAAAAGCTGAAGTCCCTAGCAAGAGACTGCACCTTCAGGTCCACTACCCCTGAGGAAAACCGAGACGATGCTCTCCGAGACGCATTTATTAGTGGAATTCAATCTAACCATATCAGACAACGCCTACTGGAAAATAGTTCGCTGAATTTTCAAAAGGCCTTCGATCAAGCAAGAGCCCTAGAAATGGCAGAGCAACAATCCATGTCCTACCAGAACTTTCCC